CAGGCAGGCGCTTTTGCCGCTGAGCTAAATCCCCAGCCCCTAAGATAAATTTCAAACATATCAAAAAGAGAAAAGCTTTTCCTCTATCCTATTACAATGTACAAAGCACAGACTTCATTCTTAAAAGAATTAATTTCTACTTATTTGCTACGTTATCCCTAATGGAAATTCCTAATCCCTGTTGCTCCTGTTTAAATATTCATAAAATGGATTAATATCCTGGGAAAGAAAAGTGAACTAGGATGCATCACAGTCCCCAATTTCAAAGGATATTACCAGGCAGCAGTGCTACCAAGAGCATGGTACTGGCACAAAAAACAGATGTATGGTCAACGGAACAGCAGAGGATATCTCAACAATCCCAGGCCCTTCACCCAGCTAATCATTAACAAAGGGTTGAAAAGCCTGCACTGAAGAAAAGACAGCCTGTTTAATAAACAGTGCTGGGAAACCTGTTTATCCACATGCAGAAGATTGAATCTAGACCTTGTATTAAAATAAAAACAAAATGGATGAAACACCTAAATAGAAAAACAGAACTACGGAATGTGATGAAAGATAAAATAAGTACAATTCTTGAAAATATGGGTATAGGCAAGAACTTTCTGAAGAAAACCCTAATTGCACAAAAAATAACACCAAGAATCAATGGATGCATTTTATCAAATTTAAAACTTCTGCGAAGGGGCTGGGGATTTAGCTCAGCGGCAAAGCGCCTGCCTGGCAAGCGCAAGGTCGTGAGTTCGGTTCCCGGTACCGGAGAAAAACCAAAAAAAATAAAAAAAATAAAAAATAAAATAAAATAAAATAAAACTTCTGCGAGCACAGGAAAGGAGCGATGGAGTATGCACACAGCCAACAGAATGAGTGAAGCTTTTGCCAGGTACTCCTCTCACAAAAGACTTATATTTAGAATCTGTAAAGAACTCAAACACATCAGATCATCCCAAAATCAAAAATTCAATTTAAAAAATGGACAAATGAAATGAACAGACACCTCAAAAGAAGAACAAGTGGTCAACACATGTATGAGAAATGGTTAGTTAGCATTTTGGCCATTAGAGAAAGGCAAATCTAAATAATACTGAAATGCCATTTCACAAAGAAAAGAATATGTATTATCAAGAACTCAAAAAAGCAACAAATGCTGGTGAGGTTGTAGGGAAAAAGAAACACTTCCACGTTGTGGGTGGGAAGGTAAACTAGTATAACCACTGTGGAAATCATTATGGAGACACTTCAAAAGACTAAAAAGGAAATTCCATTTGGCCTAGCTGTGCCTCTTTTGATTATCTTTCCAGAGAGTTGCTGACATCATATTATCCATACTCACGATTATAGCAACAACATTTACAATAGAAAAATCCTGAAAGTACCCTATATACCCAGGAACAGATAAATGAAAAGAGAATGTATACATAGACAACAGCACTACTCGACCATAACGGAGGATAAATTTGACTCAGTCATAGGAAAATTAATAAACTTTGAGTCTACTTAGCATTCTAAGTGAAATATGTCAGACACAGAAAGTTAAATATGACATGCTTTCTCTTATACGAGAACTTGAAAGGATAAGTAAAGAGCATAATAAAAGACAGATGATAGTAAGCAGGAAGGTACAGAATCTGGGATGGGGGAGATGGGAGAGAGAGAGAATGAAAAGAGGTAGAAAGACCCCAACAAAACCTTTGACATATATATTTATTTAATGTATTTGTTGTAAAATAATTACAAAACTTATACATTCTTGCCTGCTGGTTGTTTAAGGAATTACTCTATGAGGTAAATTAATCCCACATTAAAGAGAAACATAAGATCCATGGTAAACAAAGTTTTATGAAAACATAAGCAATGTGTCTGACCCACCAAATTATATCTCCTGTCAACAGTTCAAACTGACTAAGTAACATGAAATAAAACTAAGTAGCTGAAAATCCACTTAAAGTGAGAAGTGAAGATGCACATGTTCTCTTGTATTGTATTACCCCAGTATCTATAATTTAAACACACAAAAGAAGTCTAACTTTTAAAATAAGTGATGGTAATATTACTATATACATTGATCATCTGTTTTGTCCTACATCACCTCCGTTTGCCTTCTTTTACCAACATCACCAATATTTCAAGGGTGGAATAGCCTTTGACCTTTCAACTTCACCCTGTGCTCTGTCCTTGTCAAGAAACCTATCTTGAGCCAAACACGTCACCAAATACTTTTAGGTACAGTGATTGTTTCAGAATGATCAAGTCAAACAAACTAAGTTAGTGAAAGACAATAGCACTCAAAACTGTTTTTGCTTGTTTTGACTTAAGAGAAACCATTCCCTTCCACTAGCTGAACACCTGTGTCCATGGCTGCTGAAGGCAGTAATGCCACTGTGTGAAGAAGATGTTGAAAAGCGGGAGTTCCACAAAGGAAAGCCAAGCAAGAGAGGCAGATAAAAGACCCTGGACGAAGCTGAGGACCAGATACAACTACACCTGAAAGTTCTCCCTCCTTACCTACTAGTACCTGCAGCAGTGATCATTTCTAATCTTGATTTTTATGAAGCCAGTTTGAGTTGGGGCTTCTTTCATTGGAAAACTAGAATACTGAGTTATTTGCATACACATATCTTTTGATACACACACATCTATCATTTAATTCTCAAAATAACTACGTTTGATGCATTGGTCACATGTAATTTTCATTTGATAAATGACATTTCATTACAAACACAACTAAAATGCATGTTATAAAATACATGAATAGTTTATTTAAAATCATAACAGAAGCTAAGCATCAGAAAAAATTAAAAAGATATCTATTCCTTCTTGCTCAACTCGAATAGTAAAGAAAATATATAACAGAAACAATCAAGTAATTGAGAGATAACTGAATGTGAGACAAGAGGAGGAAAGTGAACGGAGGTTTTCCAAAGAAAAAAAGATGATAGTTTTTCACAAACATGAAAGCCAGAAAGAATCATGATTTTAAGGGTGCAAGAGGAGGTAATTAATTTAGTTTGAGACATATTTGCTAGCAGATTCAGCCAGGACACCTAGTTAGACAAGCCTGGTCAACAGTTTTAAATATTACACTTCCATTCATAGCACCTTTGAGAGAAAAAAACATATCTGAAGTCCTCTATAGACAGTTGAAGCTAAGAAAGAATTGCCAGTATGGCGCTCTAAAATGATTGATTTCAGGTTCTTTGCTAAAATCTTCCATATAACATTCACAGTAATGGTGGTGATATAACCTTACTTAATAGATGGATGAAAGTAAAGCACAAGCTAAGATAAAATGTCCACAACTACAATAATCTATCGTGTAGGAAAACATATATATTTTAAATAGGGTCTCTCTGACTTCAAAAGGCAAAGGCAAATAAGAGATATGTGAATTACTAATATAGTTAAGGGAGAAAATTTAAATGAGAATGTACATTTCAAGAATAATGAGGAACCTCGGAACTTGAATAAAAGAAGACAGATGGTGAACTCTCTTTGCTATAACATCTATTTCAGAATAAGAAAAAACTACTGTGCATGAAACAGCTGAGGAATTGGAAATAAAGATATATAAGTAAATATTCTTACTAATCAGTTTTGATGAGTCCTTAAAAATAATTTAGAGAAAAATTAAGATCAAATTTAAAAATATATTGGTAGCATGTAAACTCACAGAAAAATGCTTTAAGCTTTTAATATAATTCATTTGGCAAATACTATTAGATACAATTTCATCCTATTAAACAAAAAATAGCTTTTTGAACCTAAAAGTGAGACGATAAGAGCAGTTAAATTGTTTTTATTTTTAGTTTGTATTAAAACTGAATTACAATCATTACTTTCTGAATTGCTCAGCATTTCTTCCCTCTATAATAAGAATGTTAATACTAAATATCCTTATATAATCAAATACATGCATTGCTCTGTTTGAATTTGATATTATTGAATATAACATGAAGGGATTTGTTAAACACTTTCACAGAGTATCAAACATGACCAAATTCTAGGAAACTGTCTTTAAAAGCTTATTATCCAGTCGAAGGACTTGTACAAACAAACAACCACAATACTTTGTACTCAAAGGGGAAAAGGTGCAGATGTGAAAGTACTGCCCACTTGGTAGCATATAAACTTATATTGCCTGCTCTCTCAACGCAGGCATGGAACTACTTTCCCTGCAATAACAGCAGCAGGTTTTCTCATTCAACTTACCATGCATAGAACAAGAAATAACCGTAGTTTAAACATCATACCAATGTATATTACATTCATCACCGTGAATTTAATTCCTTTAGCCTTTTAAAGAATACAAGCCTATCATTTATTTAATATAAGACCAAATTTAAATTTAAATGAATGCTTAAAATGTTTAAAGGACATTATTTAAACATTTTTGGACTTTTAAAATAGTTTTATTGAACATATACATACCTTCTGGAAAATGTTCATAAACTGACAGCTTATAAATTTTTAAGGACACGTGCACGGTAAGGCAGCCAGAACCAAGATCAGATATTGCCAGCTGTCCAGAGCACTGGTTCTGCTTTCTTCTGCAAATTCCCACATCTCTTATGACACTAAATACTTAAGTAATATAAATTTTCAGTTTGCGAAAATATTTTAGAATAGAAGCTTTCCTTATACTAACGGCAACCAATAGAAATTGATGTTAACAACTGATTCCACGTTAGACCAAGGATGCCTATGACTATGAATAAGTAATCCAGCAACAGTGCACCCATGATTATAACTGTTAGTCTTCTCACCCACTTTCATAAAATATGGTAACAAAATAAGAAATGACATATGACTCAAATACACCAAGCCAGAAATAAACAGCAATTTACTGAAACAGAGGCTAGACTGATTTTAGAAAAACTGATTTCTGTTTATCTATATACTAATATTCACATTAATCATTAATTGTAATTTCTGAGCAGTGTTATTCTGGTCAGCTATCTAGTTGATTTCACAAGGCCTCAAAAATTAACCAGACAACTTACTGCTTAGAAGGCTCAGGAAATTTTGGTTCTTCTCTTCTCTTCACTTCTATCATTGGTTCCACGGGAGCAAGAACGACAGCAGCACATGAGACTACAGAGTGGTATGAGTCCTCCCGGCAAACTGGTGTAAGGAAAATAATTGTAAATGTCAAACTTATTGCTGGCCAATTCCCCTTTTCTGTTGTCAGTCAAGTAAGAGATAATTCAACACTTTAATTATCATTAAATTATCTTTAATTATCATTTCCATTGCTGACTTTCTATAAAATATCTGTAAGACCTTGGCCAATGTTTTACTTTCTTTTCTTCAAGCCCTCAGTGGAAAAAGTGTTGAAAATATTTTAAAGTCCTTTTTTTTAAAAAAAATCTTTTAAAAATCTTTTACAAAGAATAAAAAGTGTACAAATCCAGCATGTGTACTTAAATAAATCCTTACATGAGCACACCTGCTTCATCAGTATACAGACCAGTAATTCTGACCTCCCAGGGCCCTCCACCCCGTATGGGCCTCTTTCCAACAACTACTGTAGGGGCTCATTATGCAATCATTATTATCATTTATATTACCATGAAGTAATTTCACCTGTTTTCAATCCTCAAAGAAGTGGGGTCATACTCATTTGTGATATGTTATTATATGGGTGACTTATTTTAATGAATGTACAAAGACTAACCCAGATACAGTAATAGTGGACTCATTCTTGGCTCTGTATCTCTCCATTGCGTGCCACAATGACATATATTTATTGGTAACAAACATGAGTTATTTCAAGTTTGGGGATATTGCAAATGTCTGTAAAGATTCTGGTAATTTGTTAGGTGCACAAACAGTTTCAATTGGAAAAATCTGGAAACTAATTTTTCCCAGGATATGTTTATGTGTTTTATAGCTAAAACAGTAATTTGCATTCCACATCCACATTTGAAAATGCAAGTTTTTTTCTTATTTAAAACTGAATATTATATAAATTCTGTATTGCTACATAGCAAATTCACAGAAATTTAGTCTACATTAGCACTCATTTATTGTTTCACAGTTCTGCTGGTCAGAATTCCCAGGGGGAAGCCTTTGGCTTTTCTGAGTATGGGCTTATAAGGCAAATGGCAAGTTGTTGACCAGGCTGGTTTTTTATGGAAAGACTCTGTGGAAAGAATCCACTTTCAAACTCATTCAAGTAAATAGAAGAATGTATTTCCTGCCTGTAGCTGGACTAAAGTCTTACTGGCTGATGCTAGGGGCCATTCTGACCTCCTAGAGACTGCTCACACGTCAGTGGCCCATGGTCCACCCATCTCAGCAATGAAGACTGTCCCTCATATTGAAGTGCTTCTGCCCCAAAACTTTCTGATTGTGTTTTGGTCCACTCAGAGTATCACTTTTTGATGAACTCAAAATTGACTAATTAGTAACTCTAGTTACTAAAACTTCTTTGGTCACCAATATAATACAATGACAGTATTTATATCTTCTCATATTCCCAATGAAGGAATTTAACAAGCATTCGAGTCGAGTGTACAGTGGTATCACATTGTAGCTTTAGATTGTATATTATCAAAATCCAATGAGACTGAGCATAGACGTTTAGGCTTCATTTTAAATGATGCTAATATACTCAAAATTCAATTAAATGATTTAAATGACACAAATTATCTAAAAAGTAGTTAAATTTCAGCATGCTCTGCCAACTGCAATTATGTAAATTATGAAGTCCTAGCCTAGCTCCTGAATCCACAAATCACTGTGTAAATAAGCGATGTACATCATGATAAGTGACCCAGATGGTACTTTTTTGCAGAGTTTGTCAATTCTTGGTCACTGGGTATATGGTGTTAAGTTCAAGTACAGACACCAAAGTGTATAGATATACTGTTTTCTTACCTAACAAGGATAAATCCACATGGTATTTTTCTAAAGAAAAAAATTTTCTAACGAGGACGAAAGTCATCAAAAAAATTAAAATTGATACAGCAAGACGTTATAGTTGAATTGAATGGGAAGAACACAGATTAGTCCCCTCCACAGTGCAGAAACAGGTGAAGCATAGCGAAGGGAGCACAAGATACTGAAAGAGAGGACCACGCTATGCGGAGAGAATGGAAGTAGGCCCAAAAGTGCCAGAGAGAAAAATTTGCAAGAAATGAACCCAATGCACCTAAGTTTCTCCCTGACAATACTGGCTAAGTTATTAATTTGCTCCGAGGTAGAGTCTAAGATATTAGAAAGGTGGTCTTTAGGCAGAGCTGAACTTAAAGCAACCTTTTGACACTCAAGAGTCACAAATTAGTGTCCCGTATGTGCCAAGGGAAAGGACTACGGTTTCCCCACTGTCTCTCTAATGCCATCAAAGATTATTTTGCCTGATTCTGTGTTCTCTACCTATTCTTGATATTACCACTGGAATAAACAATTCCACCATAGTTAGGAACAGAAACAGATATATGTTACATTTCCAATGTTCCTTTTAATCTTAACGATTGAAAAAATAGGCTCAGAAGAACATTACTGACTTATTACACTGGGAGAACAATCATGTGTTCGCTAAATATTTACCGAATTCTGGTATATTCCAAGAAATATGATTCGTGGCAGGACTGTGCTCTGAAAAACAATAACGAAAATCCTCCCTTTCCAGGTTTCTAACGAAGTTCTGACATTATCTGGGAAGGACACTCCTCAAGTGTTAGGGCACTAAGCTTCTCATTGGATCACGTGAAAGCACTTACGTAGCCCTCTACAAGGGAAAATGGAGCCGCCTCATTTGAAAAAAAGAAGAGAAACCTGAACAGGAAAAATACCATAAAGAAAGCAAGGAGAAATTTGAAAAACAGCATGTCCTTACACAATTCACTTTTGAGTACTGCTTAACTTTTATGATTAAAACACTGGAAAAATTAAAGTTGACTTTAAAAGTATAGAAGTTAATAAAAAATTATAACCAAGTGAATGAAACAATAGGGCCCTTTATTTATTATATGACCAAAGTGTCAGTGGGTCTATCTAAAGGTGCCATTTAAATGGTGGAGGTCTTTGTTTAGCAGAATTTAATATGCTTAGCTTTCAAGAATCATAAGACACAGGAATTAATGTTATAAATGCAAGTTATGCAAGCAACAGAAAAGTTGTAATTTCAAAAAAAAGAAGTAATTGTATGTAAAAGGAAAGTGCACATTTTTCAATATACGACTATGCCCAGGCTGTCCCTCACTATAAAAACAAAAGGAGCCAAAAACTGAAAATAGACCCAAGCCTATCACCATGCACCAAACTCAAGTCAAAATGGTTCACAGATCTCAATATTAAACCAGAAACACT